ATATATACCTGTGAACAGAATATAGAAGTCCAAGCTGGTAACGTGACCAACATTCCTTGTCAGCTAGTCCCCGCCCAAGTTTCAAGCCCCGCCCTCTTCATGGTATAGAATGGTACTTTGTTGAAAACTACAATTTATTTCAGATCATGAATCCTGCTGATTCCTTTTCAAACAGTCATTTCTCATGTTTAGTGGTACTTAGGGTTGGGCATTATTGAATTTTTTTCATACCAACATGTAATTTTTAGATAAAACCACAGCATAGGGTATTACCAGCAGAGTTGTAGTCAAGACTGGCTGTTCTGAGACCAAGACCAAGACCGGACCCCACAAGACCAAGACCGAAGCCGAATTTCAGGACATTGCTTTTTTGTTGGTTTTTTTTACACCACAAAGTGCAAAACCTAATGAAATTAATCAACCAAAACTGCTTCTTGCTATTAAACTGATAACTGTAGAAATAAACTAATATTAAAGTTATTAAATGCAGCATTACATTGATGCACATTCCCTAAATAGAATTCCTCAGCTTATTTTCCACAACTGTTGGTTAAGGTTTTCACAAAGCGGCAGCTCCGCCTCTGATACAATCTCACTCGGCAGCCCAGAAGCACATCAGGGGTTGACTTTGACCCCCCTCGATGTCTCAATCCATTCAGAAGTCACACTGAGGCATCCAGAACATGTCCTAGATTGAGGTTTTGTGAAAAAGCCTTATGAGTTTGTGCTGGAGAGGAGGCAGGACTTAAAGAACCAAACCCCCTAGTGCACAGACTCTGGTTCCAAAAAACACTTTTTGTTCATAATCTATACAGTCTTTGGTGTGCAACCACTCCACTCCTTCCACAACCCACCAACTTGGGCTGTAAGAGGTGGACCCAACTGGTGGGCTGGACTCCTCAAAGATAAATCGACAGCAGGATTAGATCAATGGATCCGCTGGCTAACCTGGGCCATGTCCTCGTGTTTGCTCCACTTGACAGACAGCAGCAGCTTGGGTAGAGACTGAGGGAAATTCTCCCGACAGTCGTAGCGTAGTGTCCAGATCAAATCCTTCTCGTTCTCGCAGAGCTGAGAGAGAGGATCACGCTCCATGATCTCCTTCAACTCGATGTGGAACTTCTTCCCGCCACGACCCTGAGAGCAAAGACGTGGAAACAAAACTGGGTCAGAGCTCAAGACGGAGAGGACTTTGAAGACAGAAACAATAAACAACAGTGACTGTAAGGAACCAGAAGAGGGCAGGAGTGACCCAAAGGATCACTCATCTACCACTAAACGCTTTGAATGCAAGCAAAAATGAAACAAAGCCAAAACAACAAGTTTAGAGTTTTACGCTGGTGGACAAAAAACCATGATGCATTTCATTTGAAGACACACGAGTGTAAATAAAAATCTGAGTTCTACATAAAATGACAGAAAGCAAGAAAAATGTTTCAGTCAGTGTTTCACGCTTGTAAACCTGCAAGGCTGTGTGCACACATGCCCTCTGTGAGGTGAGATTACATAACCTGCTGTAACACACCCAGGAGAGGGGCTTTAGTTGAGAGGCACTGAAACAGGACCACAGACAAGTAATCTTATTTGAGTCCATAGTTCTGAAAGGGGGGAAGTGAATATTTTTATTAATACGCCCTTGCCAAATGGTAACAATAGGTTTCCAAGGAAACTGCAGCTATGGGTTTAAACTGTGAGTGAAGGGGAGGCAAAGCTGGAAATTATGCTGTCTGTTTGTCTGTCGGTCTTCAACAGGCTAACATCTGACAATCAGAGGAATTGAATTCCAAGCGGTCTGTAATTATCTGAGCATGCTCTCACAATTATCTCTCATTGTGCAATTACTCACTATGGATGCGCAGTCACTGGCTCTGGCGATCTGTGCAGCCTTTTCCAAGATCTGCAAGAGAAGTACGCAAGCTGGGTAAGTGAACACGCACTGATACATCACTTCCAGAAAGAGTGCATTAGGAAAACAGAGCACGTCCCGATCCACTCGTGCTAATAGCCACCACTTCATCATAATCACTAGGTACCCTTCTGAAAAGCACTCAGTCGCCGCAGTGACTACAGCAGTCATGTTTCTGAGGAAGGCCACACTGCTTTCATCAGTTTACCATGTAGCCTTGGCCAAGTTTGTGCACACAATGTCAGGAAATAAAATAATAGTGTTAACACTGAAATCACAAATCTGAGTTTTGATGTGTTCACAGTCTGAATATGGTCAGCCTAACCTTGTCAAAGGGAGGAAATATGATGGAGTGTGAGGAGTACTCCGGGAAGTGGATGTGCAGCGCTGTAGCGTTTTCAGTGTACGGGTTGGTCTGAATAGTTCCTATTGGGTTCAGCATCTCTTCCAGTTCATCTGTGGAAAATGCACACAAAGGAAGAGATTTGTTTGATGTGAAGCTCCTTTAATCCTTCTTTAAATAACAAACACACAGTACGAGTTGGAGTGATCGTGTGTACCAGGAAAGGAGGACCAGCAGTGCAGGGTGATGTCTCCGGTCTTCAGCTGCCCTTTGTAGTCAAACACCATGGTGTTGACCCAAGCTATGGGGTAATGCTGGATCAAACAATTCATCATTAGTCAGTCGAACAATATGGGTCGATTTAGAAGGCTTTCATCTAAACCACAGCAAGCAGCGCAGTTCCCACTTACCACCTTCCCCGCCTTACGGATGGTCGGGTATTTGTTGATGTGAGCGTTTTTGGTGGACTTCTGCTTCTTGACCTTATCCATGACGGCGTAGATGGCAAAGCAGAGGCGGGTCATGCGGGGCAAATCGCAAACAGAGATGTCAAACTCCAGCGTGCTGTCCTTCCAGGTGTGGTCCGAGCGGCCGTTACTCTCACTGCTCACCGCTGGCTTACAGAGCAGCTCGGTGCCATGGAAGAGCCCCGCCCTCACCTGGACCTGTGGGCGGGGACGTCACTCCTTATCTTATACTGGACTTCATTACTTTTTACAGTCTCGGAATTCATTGTGTGAATGCCGATTGGAAATGTACTCTGGGTTTCCTCTTTGTTTCTTATCACTTTGTATTTGTCGGCACTATTTTTGGGGCGGGGGNGTATTAAGCAAAGTCACCTTTTTAAAGCTTTATATGATGTCATAATGCCATTCAGTCTTCAAAAACATACTCAGAGTAGCCGTGTTTCCATCCAATTTTAATTCGAATTTTGAGCGAATTTATAAAAATTCGCAAAAATGTAAAAAAGGAAGAAATGCGAATCAGATGTGTTTCCATCAAATGGCTTGAAGCGAATCAGTTACGTCAGATGCATGCGTGTAGTATACAGGAAATAAAAGTCGCATCTCAGGAAAATGGAGAGAAGTTATCAGGAACGTGTTGCTACTATCGGGAAAGTTGTACTTTCATCAACTAGTTTTGGCGATTTTACACGTGGTCATGAGACATAGAGGAAGTAATGCAATTCTTTTCACGTTACGGGTTTAACTTAGAAGACGCCAACAGCAGGAGGAGGTTCCAGCTGCGAGTCATGGCTGCACTCGCTCTGGTACCGGGACCGGTTTCGGACAGACAGCGGGAACAGCTGATCAACATGTGAGGTAAATGTTTGCTATGTCAGAAATGATTCAAAAAATGTGTTTCCATCTCCTTTTTGCGCATTAACTCTTTTTCGAAAAACCCAAAAACCACCTCAAGCGAGCGTATCAACTTTGATGCGAATTAGAGGAAGTTTTTTCAAACCAAGCCGTTTCCATTCACCTTGTCTGATGCGATACTCAAAATGCACATTAAAAACCTTGATGGAAACACGGCAAGTGTTTCACTCATTCAAGTATGTTTGAGAAATCCTTGAATCTCCTGTGGTATCTACATGGAGCTACTGCATAATACATAATATCCCCCTTTAATAAGTTATTTTTGCAGTTTTACTATTTATGCATATTTTGTGCCATTTTACTCATTTATATTTATCAAAACATTCAACTAACTCAAGACTGGGTGGAATAACCTTTGTTTTTACTAACTTATAAGCTTTTTGAAATATTAAACTTAATTTACAAATATGTGTTTTCCCAATAAAAATATGTTGAGATTTTATTAATTTAAAAACTCTCTTTTTTGAAAACTACATTAGGATACTTGCTGTTTGATTTATTATGCTTTTTATTTTGGCTAGCTTTTAGCTTTTGATACATTTAGCTTTCAGTTGGCCTTGTGATACTTCTAGCTTTTTTGTCTTTAGCTAGTTTTTTTTTGTAATTTTTGTCTTTTAGCTAGCTTTTTGCTAATTTTAGCTTTTAGCCATCTGCTACATTTAGCTAGCATTTTACAACATTTAGCCTTCAGCCAGTCTTAGTGCATTGAAATGACTGGCACACTCTTGCACCTCCCTTACAGTGCCCTGTGACAGTAACACAGACTGTGGCAGCCTCATTTTACCTGTTTATTCAACTTTAGCTACTGTTAGCGTGTTGGGTAACAATACTTTTACAATAATATTAATTTATTTTAAAAGTATTGTAACAATACTTTTACAATAAATTAATATCAATGTAAAAGCTGCCACAAAGATATTATCAAACTATTTAATGGCACATTTGGCCTAACCATTGAAAACATGGATGAAATAAGAAATAAGAAACATGAAACATTTAAAACCTAGGTTTTTTTATCTGAAATTTTAAAAAGAAAAAAAAAAAAGAAAATGTAAAATATCACAATATATCACCTTGTTTACAGTATTACAATATATTGTATGGTGACCCGTGTCATGATATGGATCGTATGTTAACTATATTCTTATTGTTTAAATTTGTTTGGAGGAAAAAAAAAAGGGTAGACATGATTTTTTTTCTTCTTTCTACTTTCTTTCATTTCATTTATATTTTGTGTTTTTACTGTACATAGATTTTTCTATTTTTTAATGAATGAATGAACAAAAAAATTCTTGCCAATACACAGCCCTAGTGGTGACATACGTGAATTAAAGACAGTTTTGTAGATGAGCGTTTACCTTGGCAGTCTCCTCTGCGTTCACCTTGCTGCCTTTCACCAGGACTATCCTGAATGGGCTCGACACATCCCACACATACTTCTGCACTAGCTGAAGAGGAAAAGGGAGAGCAGAAAGCGAGAGTCGTTCTTGGATGAGAGTGATGCACTGTAAAAATATGTACATAACTCAGCTTCTTCACACAGATCAGATCCTGGCACAGACACACGAACAATGAGCGAGGTCAGCCGGGTCACCGTGATGTCAGGCCAGGAGGATTTGCGAGGGTCAGCAGTGGAGAGAACAAACAGCGTCACGTGACACACTGAGACCCAGAACAGGTCTTCCTGCTGCTTGTGTTGTTCTAATTCTCATGATGTCATTTACAGTTCTTTATAGTTTTCCTTTACAGATGTGATTTCAACCTCTAAAAGTTTTAAAGTGACTTTAAAGTTCCTCCTTTGCTTTTCTTTGGCAGCAGGTCATAATACCGTAATTAGAATTAGAAAATGCAGAAGCTACGTGGTTTGTTTTACTGTAAAGCAACAACGGACCCATAAAGTACTAAGAGAGAAACTAAATCTAACAGGATGAACCGAAAGTGTTAAACTTCCTTGTGATGACTCACTCATGTTTGTCGCCTCTCCAAACCAAACATCAGAAGGAACATCAATGGTCTGCTCAGCATCAGAACCTCACCAGGAGGCTCGCTAACGAAGACCAATTAATCGGAGGTGACATTTGAAACATGGACGCACACACCAAGCAGTGACGTCGCCGTGCAGCTGAAAGCAGCTGCTCGTCTTTACCGACAACGTGGCAAATGCTGGCAGAGAGCCTGGCGCTTGCTCGGACACCACCTCATATAAAAAACAAACAGGTGGCAGCTGCCAACAACATGTTTGTTCAGTAAACCTCCACACCTGCAACATTATTTTGGTGCAACAAGAACACCAAAGCAAACACTGGGGGATATTAATTGGGTGTTACTTAAGAGTTCACGTGAACATTTTCATCAGACCTGCTTTATTTCTAAGTTACACGTTTTAGCAAAAACTGTGTGAAAAGAAACTTCGTAACAAACAAAAAAAGGGGCTTAGACAATGGTTCTATAAATAAAACACACAATCACTTCAGCAACAATAATAAAACTCCAGCTAAGTCTAAACAGACATAATATGTAACAAACCGTGGGAACCCTTCTTTTGGGAGGTAGCGGTAAAGGTGGGTTGGAGGTCCTGCGGCTGACCACAGCTCCGATGGCAGACATTTCCTTGTCAAAAATGGCCTTCACGGTGCTGGTGTGAACCAAGGTGAGGTTAGGAGGCTCTTTGGCCTGAAGGCATGTCCTGATGTACTGCAAATGAGAGAGAACAGGAGTGTGTTTTAGCTACAAGAATCATCAAGAAGAGAAGATGTTGGCTGAATCAACTGAAGAACTACTTTTAAATAAACAGTATAAAATTAGTTTGCCAATATTGTACTTGCTCTGCTTCCAACAAAATACAGTTTGTGTACCTGAACAGATCTACTGAACATACTGACCCACAAAACCTCAAATTTCAGGACATCTGTTTGATGATAAGAAACATCCTGACTCCACAAGAATCCCATAGCAACAGGTGAATTACACTGAGCTTGAGACAAGATATAAATCACACAGACACACTTCTCTAAGAACAAACAGATTTATCACAAAATACAGAAGGAAGCTTTTTGTTTTTGAGTGTTAGAACATTTAGGTCATCTTACTTTTACACCTTCCTGGTTTTCAGATCTACATGTGCTGATTTGCTTTTAATCACCCATTAGAAGTGCACAGATTCAGAATAACACAGGCCTGGAATGTGACATGAGCATTCACTGGGGTCACTTTGAAAAACATCAGATATCTGATATAGTGCCACATACTAAAAATGGCCTGGGTCGGATTTTGAAAATTTTGATTTGTCACATTCAGAGTATCAGGAAACAATCTGATATGGGTCACATTTACCTGCAGTGTGAACTTAGCCCAAGTTCAGCAACTGTAAGTAATTAACACTCTTTCCTAGGGATGGGCGATATGAACTAAAATTATCAATAATAATATGGTTGGTATGATAAATCTTCAAATCACATCCTCTTTGCACTAATCAATATTTTTTGTAAAACCTCAGAAGAACTCTAACCCTTGTAAAATACCAGTAATATAATAAAAAAATAAAACTATAAGAAAATAGCTTTACTAATCACTGAAAATAATGTGTTTTGCTGCACTGGGAGGTAAAGCTATAATATCTGCTCCCTAAAGGGTTAATATTCAGGGGAGGGAGGGGCTACTTGTGTGAGTGGAGAGGTACGAGCTGCGCAGCCTGCAGCTTGTGGCTGAGACAAGCTGTTTTTTTTGTCGGTCCAGGAAGTTGAAGCTGCCTGTCCTGTTTTATCATTTTTATCATGAGATGACAAATAATTACCATGGTGAATGTCTTTGACGGTATATCGCACACGATAACATATCGCCCATCCCTACTTTCCACAGAATGCAGTTGTCCTTCAAATTAAATCTGCCAAAACTGTCTTCTCACTCTATATTTTGGGTCTTAATGGATGAAAATCAACACACTCTTTACAACTGCAGTGAACAACATCTGATTACATCAGGGAGAAATCATGTGGAGAATGACATTTCTAAATCAGTTAGTGACACTTTGGGCTTTCTTGACCACCCCTGCATATTTCTATTCATAATTAATTAAAATAGTTTCATCTTTAGTCAGGACGCTTCCTCTTTTCCCTCAGCGTGGCTACAGTCCAGCGGAGCTACATTAAGGCAATCAGGATTCTGAGCTTAGCTTTGGGTGTGAAGCAGTAGTTGCTGAAATATTTTAGAATTACAAAACTTTGTTTTTATGTTTAAAAGACCAATAACATAACTTTAATCCCATTTGCCCCCTTTTTAGATATAAAATAAAGACTTTCCTGATGCATCTCAGAAATCCAGGTAGAAAATAATCAAAAAAGAAAAAATAAATAGGTCCTCTGGATGGGTTCTTCTTTAGTGAAACGTTTCGTCTCTCCTCCAAGAGACTTCTTCAGTCTGATGAGTTTCAGGTGAACTCAACCTTATAAGCACTGCCTCCACATGGAAAAACAGGTTAGTCAAATGCAAAAGAGGGCCATTGACTAACAATAGGCTTGATTGGCTCTATTGTTCATAGAGGGTCATGTGCCCCATCACCTGACCCGTGTCGTGTTGTGTGAATGTAGTGAATGCAAGCGGGGGGTTTTAACTAGGGGTGTCCCGATCCGATATTGATATCGGTCCGATATCAGCCAAAAAATGAGTATCGGATTTCATCAGCTTGCATGAAAAATGTCCGATATAAGCGCTCCAATATAAGCAGTCCGTTCCAGCAGTTCACTGCCTCCGCTCCAGTGTTTCTATCCAGCAGAGCTTGGATCCAGCATGCAGAGCTCACGTGATCACAACAACATGCAGCGCTAACAAGTTAGCAAGAATGTCGGCAGAACTTTCTATTTTCATCAGAAACAGAGTTGCAGCTAAGTGCAAAGTTGTCACGCACAAACTTTCCGAGGGGGAACACAGAACCGTGAACGTTTTAAACCGGAGCGACAACTACTCTCCACCCTGGCAGCAGCTTTGCAGTTCGGCTCGGTTCGTTCAGCCTTGGTCCAGTGACCGCACACAGCCGCGCTGTTTCGGAACCTCCTCTCTSGTCCGGTCGGTGGTTCTAAGCTGGCAGAAGCGAGGACAGCACGCTTACAGTTTTGACATCCCGTGGATTAGCTCTGGGTCAATGGACAGAAGAAAGAGAGCGCAGCTTTTGTTTTGAAATATAAACGCAACATGACGAGAGCAGTGATACAATCTGCTCCCTGCAGGAGCGAGAGGCTGATCTCCACATGATGCTCAGACTGTAGAAAGTGGAAATCCAGCAGTAAGAAAGGTAGCTATCAATTTAAATAACTGACTAATTCTTACCATTTATTTTTTGCTCTAGTTATTAGAGTGATGTTTAATCTGTTTACACACTTGTTTGAGTGAAGATTAAGTGCAATGATCACGTTGTTTTAGTTACAGTCAGTAAAATTGGAGCTGAGGACTCTTAACTTTGAACAGACAATAATGTGGGCTTTTGTTTTGTCCCCACCTTCAGTTTTTTCCAACATAAAGCAGCACCAGGCTGACAGGTAGTAAAACAATAACCGAAGTGATTTTGAATTGTTATTTTACACATTAAAAGTACATTTTGTTTTTATTGTGTTTTATTTTTCAGGGTATTATAATTAATTTTAGTTATTTTATTAAATTGTAGAATGTTCTTCAGTTTGAAATGTATGTCATCCTTTGGTTAAAAATAAATGGGTCAATTTTTCTCATTCCTACTCTTTTTCACTGTTTGACCTGATCAAGACTTTTCTAAGACTTCACACTACAAAATATGCAAAAGTGTGTGACTTGTACTGTTATGGTAACGGGTCAATATCGGTATCGGTCAATATCGGTATCGGACAATTCTCAAAGTTGTAATATTGATATCATATCGGAAGTGAAAAAGTGGTATCGGGACATCCCTGGTTTTAACATCCCCTTATTTTTGTCCCTCCCTCCCTCTTTGTGTTGGTATCATTGGGGTCCTGATTCACACGTTTTGCTCACAGGGGGCTGAGTCATACTTGCAATTACAGCATTGTAGGCGGAAGACAACTGGACACAAAGGCCTCCACCTCTGTTAATGGTGGACGGTTTTTCTTCACAAAAATGGCTTCCTTTACTCCTCTCTCAAACCAACGTTCCTCTCTATCAAGAATGAGAACATCTTCATCCCTGAAAGAGTGACCGCTGGCCTGTAAATGAGTGTAAACTGCAGAGTCCTGACCTGACAACGTAGCTCATCTGTGCTGGCTCATTCTTTTGAATAGTGGCTGTTTTGTTCCCCCAATGTATAACTGATCACAGTCCTCCTGACACTTAACAGCATATACTATATTACTCTGTTTTTGCCGGGGAACTGGATCTTTGGGGTGAACTAATATTTGTCGTAACGTGTTTTGGGGTTTGAAAGCCCCTGGGACGTCATGTTTAGAGAATAAACGTCTCAGTTTCTCTGAAACTCCCGACACACATGGATTGACGACTGGTTTGGGTCTGGGTTTAGAGACAAAAACAAGGGGATGTTGAACCCCCGCTTGCATTCACTACATTCACACAACACGACACGGGGTCAGGTGATGGGGCACATGACACTCTATGAACAATAGAGCTAATCAAGCCTTATTGTTAGTCAATGGCCCTAATTTGTATTTGACTAACCTGTTTGTCCATGTGGAGGCAGTGCTTATAAGGCTGAGTTCAACTGAAACTCAGACTGAAGAAGTCTCTGGGAGGAGAGACGAAACGTTTCACTAAAGAAGAACCAATCCAGAGGACCTATTTATTTTTTCTTTTTTGATAAAATAAAGACATTCATATCTAAAAGAGTATGAATTATATGGTAACAACAAGCTTGTTGTCTTTTTGTGAGGCAACAGTGCAGCAAACTGGTCTTTTTCCTCAGTTTCTACTTCCGTGACTCAAACACCATCTGCTCTCAGAGTATGGGAATTCAGTTGTTTTTTGCCCTGGCAGTTAAACAGATTTTTTTCTCTACATGCAGTGCAAAGCCTAATTTAAATGTGGGCAAACTGCACCTGTGCAGAGAGAAGCTGTTAATTGAGGGAAACGTCTGTCTTTGCAAGGCCTTTCAAAAAAAAAAAAAGAAAATGTGAAATCCCAGTTTGCTTTCATAAAGACACATTTCTCTGTCCTGATACCTGACTGAGTCCAGTGTCCACTGACCTTGTACTGAGTCAAAGGGTGGTCTCCACAGAGGAACTCCAGGCGCTGGCTGACTCGCAGAAAATACTGACCCCTCCACGCCTCCTCCTCAGGTGCATGAGTGGTCAGCCACTTCTTCACCGCCATCTCCATCAGCTCAGAGGTGGTGCAGGACGATGACACCTTCAGACTGGTAGAGTCCTTCAAGACAAGAATAGAAAATGGAGAGGTTGATTCAAAGGATAATCAGAGCATTATGCTCAGAAAAATGTGGGAAGAAAATAAACACATTTAACAAAACAACACTGTATTTATACATGAACATCCTTGAACAATGGTGCTGATTCTGTCTTTGATTATCAGACTGATAAACATGAGCAAAAAAAAAAAGACCCACACTGTCTTCCACTCTTTAAATACACGCGTACACACATACACACTTCAACCAATATGCTCTGAAGCTCATCATGATATTTATAGCCCACAGCTGACCTGATACCAGAGATGGAATTATAATTTCCTGGAGGTTTATTAAAATGTCATCCATCAATAATTAACAAAACACAGCCAGAGCTGCAGTCAGTCATGTGGTGGGAAAGTACAGGTTAGATTTACAGAAGCTTCCTAGAAAATACTTTGGTTACATAAACAGAAAAACCTTTTGAACCACAGAAATATACTAGCATTAAAAAGAGTAAAGTAGCAAAAACATTTTTATTGTTTTTTTAATAGTTTCCTAATTCCAAAAATAAAAATAAAAAATTAAGTTTTGTGGGATGTCTATATTTTGTTTTGAATACATACTTAATTAATTTTGAAAAAACACCCTATAGTGTTTTTATAATAAGAAAAACATTTTACGCAAAAATGAAAGTTTTCCAAAAGTTGCTCAAAAGCTAACAATGACTTGTTACTGAGAAATCAAACAGAAAGAGGCTAAAATTAGCACAAAAACAGCTGAAAGTACAAAAACATTAGCTAAAATAACAAAACAGATTCTAAAACTAAAATTAATAAAACAGTAGCTAAAATCAACAAAATAATAACTAAACTTAAGAAAAACTCTAGCTAAAGCATTAAAGGAACATAGTAGCTAAAACTCAAGAGCGAGATGACAAAAACAAAGCAAGCAGGCTGAAGTATATTTTACAAAGTATGATTTGAGGAGATTAAAAAGATTTTGATGTGTGATTATGGGAAATTTTACTTTAAACTAAAATAAATATTTTTGAAATGCATAAAAATTACAAAAAACCAAAAAGGGACAGTACATCATTGCCAATTGAGCTGAGCAATTTGATACAGTAATTTAGCACAAAGTCTGCAGAAGTAGTTTGAATAATTGTAGGGGAAGAAAAGCTGTAAACAGGAAAACAGCAGCGTGAGTCATTATTCACAGAAAGATTTGGATGCCAACACAGTGAGTGAAAAAAAAATTAGGTTAACGACTGAAGGAACCAATGATATCACTAAAGACAAATTTCAGACTGAGTCTTAGACAGGATCGTACAATAAAACCACATTAGCACTCTTCCTGTTTGTAACGTAGCTTATTGTATCTGACCTCTTCAATAGGACTTCCTGCCTACATCCACCTGAGAACGGTGCTCCAGATGGCCTGTCTTTGTCTGTGATGTTGATCAAAGCTGATAAACAAAGAGTCTGTAAGAACATGACCATCTGTTTTATTATTAGATAATATCATTTCTATAAGAGTGGCAGTTAGACAGATGGAAGGACCCAGCCAAGTGAGCTCAGAGCGGGAAAGGGGAAATGGGTTCATTTTAATCAGTGTTTCAGTCCCCGGAGCCGGTCTGTGTGTCAGAGGGAACGGCATCATTTCTCTGATGGTTTTGACCCATTTTCTGTTGTCACATGTCTTGACAGTTTTGGCTTGATCACATGACTTTTGTAAAGCTGCCAATTGTGGGCAGGAAAAAAAAAAACAGCCGGGGCTTCAATGACATCAGCATGCTTTGGTGAAATCACATGGCTACCCCCTTCTACTCACACAAGGTAGTTTTGTTTTGTGAGCAGCAAGTCAGAGACATTCTTGGATCCTACAGCAAGTACTGATATTTACAAGGAATGCCATAAATTTGACTAAAGGGGGTTTTATGACAAAATAGTTTGTTATTTTATCACAGGTCATTTTGCTCATGTCTGTTTGTAACATTAAACAATTATCTCATGAACCACTGCACGGTTTTAAATGAAAATTCTCAGAAGGTAAATATTTGTTGGACATCTATAACTGATTAACTTTTGGAGTCATTCTGATTCAAGATGGCCGAAACAGCTGAGTGACCCTATTACACACATCCTCTACCATACAAAACTACCAATACCTGCAAAATTTGCAGTGTTCACAATACATTTTCTGAGTGCTTGCACACTTTGCAAGATTTCACAATACTATATCTATCAAGGGTAGACCAAAATGGCTACAACTTCATCCCTTCTGGTCATAAGATGATTTAAAAGGCTGGTATGAAAGGCTGCAGGCGGTATGCATTCATTTAATGAGTGCTAGGCCTTCAATTTATTTTGTTTAGTAACTAACGAGGAGAATCATCAACATTCTCTGTCAAATGCGAGCAGTTTGTGGAGAAACAAGTATTTCTCTCAGCATCTAATTTATCCAAGAACCATCACACATGACAATCAAAACTACTCTCACCCTCCACAGTGAGAACAAGAGGCAAATACAGCACCCCGAATAAAACCATCATATGAAAACTGCAGTGCAGATTCAGAAAAAATTCAAATGTGGATCTATACATGAGATGAAAAGTCCAGAGACTCAGCGTCTTTAAACATGTATTGCAGCATATTTTAGGTGGAAATTAAATCCTGCTTTTCAGATGTCCACACATGTTGTACTTTTATACTTCAGAGAAAGAGGAAATACAATACTTCATCTGGAATAAACTTGCCTGTCTTAAAGCTGATTAAGAGGAAAAGACATAAACCTACAAGATTAAAGTTTCAAATCTTAGGACAAACTGTTGAACTCAGACTGACTATACATTAGACACTGCTGTTCTACAGTAACATAACAGATTGTTATGAGAAGATAAATAGTGTGAAAACGTGTCAAATCCAGGAAATATCCCCTGACATTTGAGCCTTGAATGTGTGTCTAATGGGTCCATTAAGCTGTTTTCACACATCTACAGAAGACTCTATGAACAAGGTGCAGACAGTTGAGCTGAAGCTGCTGTTCACATGTGAACTCCATGTTTCAGTGTCCACTTATTGGTCACTTTATTAAGTAAACCTGTTGCTTTTGAACATAAGCTGCTAATCAGTCAATCACAGCAATGGATTGTATTTAGTCATGTAGACATTTAGAAGGGCGCCTGGGGTTAGGGGAGTCATCCAGTAACCAGTTGGTCCCCCATTCCAGCTGTCAGTCCTTGGGCAAGACACTTCTCCTAGGATTTAAGGTGACATGACTGCTGGTCTGAATACTTCAGAAACTGCTGACTCTCTGAATCTTTTTACACACAATCATCATGGTTTACAAAGGTTGGTGTAAAAAAAGAGAAGTTATGTAGTTATGTAGATGAAAGTGCTCTGTTGATCTCAGAGGTCAGATGGGTAGAAGAGTTACTGTATAAACAAAATTAATATGAGGCCTATCTGATTCATAGTCCACCTTACTGTGTCAGACACAATGATGTATCACAATAAGACTATGAATCAGATGGACTTCATTGTATCAATAGTGCATGTTGCACAAACATTGTGATGTGTTATCCAAACTAAAGTGTGGTAAAAATACATAAACTTTCTGCCTGCTGTGAGAATGTGCGTACCTCCACACAAACATCGTCTGTCGACAGAATCCAACTAAAAACTACTAAAACTAATCTAAAACACAAAAATATGACTCCATTCTGTTTTCTAAATTTAATGGGTATTTAAACAGTTTAAGCTTTAATGGTTCAACAGTACACAAACGTATGTACAACAGGTTTCTTTTAGGCCCAGGCCGCCTTTGCAAAAGAGATCTATGATCTCAATGAGATTTGCCTGGATAAATAATAGTAAGTAAATTAATGAATAAATGGTTTAAAGCTGATGGATGAAAATGAACCACTTCGTACAATATAACACTCCTCCAAAATGATCAAAACATCCTCATTCCGATGTAAACTATAGTTTCCTGTATTTTTGTCAAATGTAAATGTAAACACACATCTGTGATCGCACAGAGAACTGAGGTGCATAAAATGCATATTTATTGTCTAAGAGGCACTTCCTTTTTCACGTAGAAGAAAACCATGTCAGAATAAGACTCTTGTGATGATTCCTAAAGTGTTGCATTCTTGTGATGCTAAGTTATATTAAATTTTCCTACACGGCAGCTTAAAAACACTCCACTGATGCGCTCAGCTACTCAATTCTTGACATCAACTAAAGCCCCCAAGTTCTACTACTCTAGGTGTTTTTGGATGGCACATCATGCAGATGAAACTTTACGTGAATTTTTTGCAGCAACTGTAACATTTTTATCACACAAGATTAACTACACAACAGTACTGACTTACAACACAACAACAAGCTAACATTAGCTTACCGCCCTTTGTCATCTTGCTCTTAAGGGTCATACTGCTGGATGGTCCGGTTCAATCTTCGGTACTTTTCCTTCGAGTTTGGTGTGGTCCAGTTTTATTTTTTTCGCAAATCAAACAAAACAAGATTGTAAATGTTTATTATTGTGAGCCTGCCCACATCTAGGCAACTCTTTGATTTATCCAAACACAACTGGGGCTGAGATAGAATAAGATCCAAAACACCTCAGGTTCTACCCTCTACACGCCCACACTCAACCATAAACAGTCAATGTAAAGTACCTCATGAAAGTTAAGATGTATTTAAATCAGTCAGCTGATCAATGCCAACAAAAGTGATTGGTTCAGACACGCTCTGTCGTGTGTCTGGAGGATGACAGGTGCTGACTGACAGCTGCTCACGTGAACARAATGTCTGTAATTGACACMGATTTTCCCTCATTTTGCTTTAGAGTAATCTAATGATTTTTATAAAAAAAATCTCAGCTTCAAATTAATTTTCCATCAGAGCCTGCAGGACGAAAAAAAAAACCCAATAAAAATTAAATTAAATAAGTCAGATGAAATTAAAAGTAAGTCCCCCTCTCTTCTCCTTGTCCTCTCCCCCTCCTGCCTGCACTGTTATCTGTTACTCGCACCCCACCGCGTGACAAATACGGACTTTAAACGTTAAGTTTTATAACATCCACACTGGCGAGGTGGATGCGCCCTGCACGTGTATCCAAAGCGTGACTTTTGCTGTCCTGCTCGGGGAGGGTTCTGTGGGTCAGGGAGGGGTCTGTGGGTCAGGGAGGGGTCTGTGGGTCAGGGTCGTCTGAGGAGGAAGCAGATGAAGGGAGTTGAGCACGGGAACTTTTATTTAAGATCTAAGTTTTTTTTATTTCAAAGGTCCTCATGGCTCAGCAGCAGAAGCATAAATATTACTGTTAAGAAAGCTGATGATAAAGCTGAATAAAAATCTAAGTCTGATGAAGGTAAATTAAATATCTGACAGTGATCATTACACAGTGTGGCTCTAATTCCTCACTTCACCATCTGTGTCGCAGTTTCACGTCTCCAAATGAGCGTACGCATGGGTCAGAGCTGGTGTGAGGCACCGCACATTTTCACGTCAAGTTTGGATTTTATAAATCACAACCTTGGCGTACAAAGTGGCGTACGCAAGTTTCTGGGCTCAAATTGTGCGTACGCCAGTTTTATAAATCCGACCCCTGCTCTGTTTACAGTAATTATGTTGTTCAACACATTATGTTCTATAACCTCAGATATGTGTCGCTAGTTCACTTCATTCATTTACAATAAGTCACGTACCGGAAGTGATGTGCAACATCATTGGATCAGAGGCGATGGGCAGCCGTTCTCTTTAATGCCACCTATATGTCTGACCATTTAACCCTTTCATTACTTCTGCAGGTGTGCTCTGTTCTAACAGCAGCAGCTTCACACACAATCACTCCTTTTTGTGTACGACACAGAGTGTGCAGCCTTTTCATTGATGGGATACAGAAACTTACCTGGCACTGGTCAAAGTGAATAATGACTTTAAGATCCGGAGGTCGGTCGTTGACTTCGTCGGTGACGGCCATCGCTGCTGCAGGCTCCAGCTGAGGGGAGAAGCAGGCCTGCAGCCACTCGGCGCACGTCATCATTTGCACTCGTTGCATCTTCTCCTCACTGATACGAAACATCTTACTGCGAAAATCCTTCACCTCCTGGTCATTGATGGCATCCAGCTCGTGGAGACCTAGAGGGTGGAAAAGATAATGAGTCACTGATACAAACCCAAGGTGAGTTAATCATACTAATCCCTCTGTTTTCAGACGAGTGGTTCTAATCAGGAAGTTTATCAGAATGTTCTTGGTAATAAAACCTGTTGCCATTTACAGCCTGTTAGTGTTCACATGACCCTCAGCATTTGAAGAGGGGCTCTGGTCGTCATTAGACGTCGTGGCCATTTGTGTGGCAGCACTGATGCAATGATGCTTTCCAATTTACTGCGACAAAGATCAAGTCATACCAAAGTGTAGGCAGGAGTGAAGATCATCATCATCAAGTCTCCTTCAATTTGACCCAGAGTCTCCTTTTGGACCGTTTGCCTTTCATGTTCTAAACACAGGAGTTCTGTAGTGATTTGTTGTCTGGGTATTTTAATTTTTTTACTCTAATTAAATATTTTACTTACTTTTTTTTGGGGGGGGGGGGGGTATTGTGCAAAATCGACTTTTTAAGGCTTTAAATCAGGTTACAATTTCAAGGCATTTAGATTAAAAAAAGATAATTTTTTTCTAGATATTTTTATACTGAAGGTAACTGGTGATATGTTATGAAATTGAACTATGTGCCTGGGAAATACATAATCCCCCACTTTAGGAGGCAGAAATGACTAAATGTACCAGTGCTTTATTGTAAAAAAAAAATCAAATAAATAGTGAGTGCTTTATCTAGTTGTGCGTCTTCAAAAATCTACAAGGAAAAAAATCATTTTCAAGCTCCGATGACTTCATCATTTCTCAACACAAGATCACCACTTCTGGCATTTAAAGTGATGGATGATGTGTGCTCCTTCAAGGAATGCTAACTTTTTAATTAACTATTGTTTACCTTTAAAGTGATGCTACATGGTTAAAAATTATTCCTATTACAATTTCTTTTTTTTCCATTAAAATTTATTTTTATTTTTTTCCAGTGCTCAACAATAAAAATGTTTTTACAGCTTAAATGATGGAAACAATAATTTTTCCTTCAGAATTTACTATAAAAGCTGCAGATCTATGTTTATTAATTTACATTATAATCATGATGGATGCATATGTCATGTTAATGCTGGTGTCAAATGTCTGATGGGACTTTTTTACGTTAATGGGGAAGTAAACATTCTGTTGATGGATTTCATTTTCATCTTCATAACTTTTTTTTCAGTTTTCTCTGCTCCTCTAAAATGTCTAATCCTCAGCAGAGATGATACATGGTGATATGTGATGGAAAGATGTGAGGAACTCATCCTGATCCTACCTGGCTGTTATCCACCTGAGCTGCTGACAGAAATCAGCTGAACTGAGCTTCTTACTGCAACATACTGGTGTTTAAAACCAGCTGTGTGAAGGAAAAACCTACTGTCCTACTTACAGAAGTGCTTTTCTTATTGGAAAAAAACCAAACAGGGACCATACCTGAATGACTCAGGAATTGCGACAGCCACTTAAAATGAGAGCATGGCTCACCTTTTCCTATAAGCACGCCAATTTTAGAGTCCAGCAGGCGCTCTGCTCGCCCACAGCTGCGCATGACCAGTTTGAGGACGGGCAGAAAAGGCCGAACATCACACAGGCGGCGGGTTTCATCTTCCAGTTCTTCATGTACAGCCGCCTGGTTGACACACTCGAACATGTGGCTCTCCATTTCCCCAAGGGAGGGAAAGAGCGGGAAGGTCTGAGCCTGCTTCCATAAGAGCTGAAGAGGAACAGAAAAACAATCTAAACCAAAGAAAAGCTTTTTACTGACCACAGCAGAGATAATTAAATCGATCGGACTATAAATAAACAACATCTTTGATGGTCAACTAACTAGTTTTGGATGCACAGATTGGACAACATTTCTGCAAGAGCTGAGTAGAGAATTTGCTTTTGGTAAAAAGAATTGATGCAACAATCGACAGCACATTGTTTCATGATCAGGAACAAAAATGAATCAGAAACATTACAGAGTTTATGTGTAATGGTGCGTTCACACCGAACGCGATTTCAGCTTCAAAATCGCAGCCAACGCTGAAGTTTGAAGCTTGTGCACTTTGAGGTCAGACGCAGGACATCTGCGCTGCACGGCGACAGCCGCCCCCCCCCTCCCTCCTCTGTCCTCTGTCGGGCTCTGTTTAATGTCGGACGAGGAAGTGGCTTTGCTTTATTTACAGACAGCCAGAACGTGTCACGTTCATCAGATAATTAATTCATAATTAATTCACCAGATAATTCAGAGAAGAGGCTCATAGCTGCTTTCAGGACTATTTTTTCAGTCTGATGAGTCGCTGCCACACATTGCTGCGGATCAGGACACGACTGCAGCACTCATTTTAGCTAAAGAGCAGGAGCTCCGTCTGTTTCAGGTTAGTGGACCTCATTCAGTAAACTGTCCCGTCGGGAAATATGTCGCTACGTCACACAGTGGAGTCTCTCTGATTGGTTGACGCTGCGCGTCGAGCTGCAAAAGTTCAGATTTCCCAACTTCAGCGATTTGGACGATTTGGACGATCTGAGCGTTCGACGCTCAGATCGTCCAAATCGTCCAAATCGCGCTGCTCTAATCGCGCTTGAGGCGCCGCAGAACTTCCCGACGTTGCTTGAAGCGCGTCCACCATAGACTTTGCATGTAAACCTGCTGCTCCTGACGCTGAAATCGCGTTTGGTGTGAACGCACCATAACAGTAAGGACTGTTGGCAGGATTCATGTTTCTGCAACCCCACAGCAAGATCACAGCGTCTGGTGTCAAATGCAGATTTATGTGAGACAAGCAGGAACAACATTAAACTCCTTAAAAATTTTACTTTTAAACTGATTTGTGATTTTAAGCTGATCATGTTTCAATAGACACCTCATGTAAAAAGGAAATTGGTCTCAATAATTTAATGAAGGAACACTTAAGATGCCATAATTTGTCAAAAAACTTCCTTAACTTTATATGTTTCAACAAATAAGTTAAAGCACAGGATAACTGGATTTTGCTGAAATTTACAGACATCTCCCACATATGATATTGAAGTCTGGTATAGTTGATGCAAGTTCAAGTTCAAGTTTATTTATATAGTGCCAAGTTACAACATATGTTGTCTCAGGGCACTGTACATAAAAAGAACAATCTAAAGAAGAAACCAGCAGGCTGTGTTGAATCACTTCATCACAGTCTCCCATCCTGAGCAGACAGTGTAGAGGAAAAACTCCCTGCTAATCAGGAAGAAACCTCCAGCAGAACCAGGCTCAGGGCAGGCGGCCATCTGCCTCGACTGGCTGGTTGAGGGACAATGCACTGAACACGTTGCAAGGGTGTGCGCACCAATGCAATCGCACCATCTCCTTTCCCCTGCGCACCATTCACACAGTTTGTTTGTTCGTCACGCTATTGCGTTCCTATTTACAACATTTCATAATTTATAAATTGTTCTGCCACATGTCTTTTTGGAGAGTACTAAAACACTGGCCGAAGCATCAAGTATAAACACCTCCACCGCTGGTCCTGCGAGTACTCCAAGAGCGACTACTGAGCCACTATGTACTATGGCCACAGATCGGCATATTGTTAGGCTTAGGGTTGGGCATAATCGTATCATGTGCAATTAATCGCCAGAAAAACATTAATCGATTATTTTTTGGCACTTGACGATTAATACGATTAATGCCACCAGTTAGTCCGCTCGGTGCTCCTCTCCTCTTCAACGGTGACGAACATTTTTAAAAAAGTTCTGTAATTTATTTATCTATCAACAATTAAAAATTTGATGTATAGCCTGAAGTCTGAAATTTTGACACAATTTGGAACAGATTTTTATGAAGAACAAATCTTTCCCACTAAATTGGTCATGTGACCAGGACATAAGGGTGTCCAGGGACTCCAGGGGATTAATCGTCAAATAAATTGTTTTCGACTAAATACCACAATTAATCGTGATCCATTTTTTTTGCCAATACTGCCCAGCCCTAGTTAGGCTACACATAGAAAAAAGTATTCTTACCGAACAGTGCAAGGAATGATATGAGCCACCATTTGCATCCGATTTTACGGTTTCTCTTTAGCCTTTTCTTTTTGATGCCGCATGTTACAGATAGATAGGGTTTCTCTGGCCCTTCTCCATTCTTTGCCAAAAGCAAATAAAACGGCAACCAGGAAACAAAAAACACCTAATTTCATATTAGACTCAGCCCATTCCTGTCCAAATCACAAAGATGCCTATGTGCATTAGATTAGTATTATCACAGGACCTCAGGGTTCAGCAAAATATAGCAGGTATTTTTTTATTTTTTAAAAATTACTGACATGGGCGATACACATGGGATTAACAACAGCATGCATGTGGTCCCTAGGTTAAACTAATCCCATCAGAAGAGGGCTTAAGTTGTTTAGTTGAGCAGAAAGACATCAACACTAAACACTTAAGTATTTGTTCGTTTATCACAAGTCGTATAATCTTCAGCACTATTAAGCACCGTTATCGCACATCGCAGGTTTTCCTGATATTGTGCAGCCCTAATTGACTCCAATTTAATGGTTTAAATTAGTGCTGGGCATAGATTAAAAATTTTAATTGTGATTAATTGATATTTTTGAGACAGATTAGTGTTGCAGTGCTTACAGAGAACTTTACTTCTTTCAAGCCCGCCGTCGGGAAAAGTTTTAAAATAAAAAATGACCTGATGGTGACTTCCACCATGTTTCTGTCCCGGCTGCAGCTCGACCGGGTGCATGAGAGCGGCTGTACACAACGGCTCGACAACAAAGGCTCTGATTGGTTGAGACATGCGACGAAGGCCATCTAAAGCTAATAGTGACCAAGATCCCGCCTCCCTGCCGTAACCACTGAGTTTGTGTGTGTCTGTGTTAGCTGCCCAGTGAACAGACATCCAGCAGAGAAATATAAATAAATAACTGCATTGATGCACATTAAAAAAATATTATTGCTGTTAGCATCGGCTGCTTTAACATGTTAACGTGCCCAGCACTAGTTTAAATGTGAAAAGGAAGAATTTAAAAGCACGATATACCTACTTTAAACAATAAAATACAGGGGAAAAAAGTGTCTGATTCTTCCCCAAAAGTTAAAATGGTCTAAAACGGGCCTGATTTCCAGGAAACAGGATCTAGTTCTCATCATGAATGAATGAAGGCTTATGAATGAGTAAAACTGTCACGAGTCTGCTCATGTCTGCAGTTTGACCTCTGCAGGCCGGCAGGCTTTGATCACACCATCAGTGATCAAAGTAACCCAGAACTTAACTAAACCAAAAATAAAATAAAATAAAAAAATCCCACCCACCTTCCTTCTACGTGACCTTTGTAAATTTAGCAGAAAAGCATCAGAGGCGTTTCAGTGTTCCTGGGTTTTTGCTGCCTCAGCACAAACTAAATATAGAGAAAACGGACTTCTCACAAATCTTGGTCTTTATCAGGCATCCTTTATGAATCCACCTCCATTGAATAAAATATTATTATAGTTTGTTAAATAAATTTTTTGTACACATTAAAAAAGCTCTGTAATGAAACAAAGCATACAGCCCAGTGCTGACATTAATCTTCAATATAACTTCCTTTGGTTTCACTTGTACTGTCACATAGTCATGATCAAAGTGGGAACATCTTATTCCATTACATCTGTCAGAAGCTGATGTCAGTCATTTTGAATCTTTTTGAAGCTCTCAAAATCCTACACCCACAGAAAAGCTGCTGACACGAACAACTTTTCACAAACAAAAACCACCAAACCGACCACAGCCCTGATGGTCGTCAAGACACGGGCTGGCTCATTTTTTATTTATTTATTTCCTTTATTTAACCAGGTAAGTCCCATTGACATTAAAAACCTCTTTTTCAGGGGAGTCCTGGCCAAGAGGCAGCAAAAAGTATACATTTACATAGAGTTACACAATTAAAACACAAAACAAACAATCACTATGAAAAACACTCACAATTCAAGGACGTCATCTCTAATGCCCTCAATCTGGACTTAAAGGTGCTCAATGGGATCAGTTCAGTTAACTTCCAGACTTTTTGCATGTCTGACTAAACTGTGTGCTATTTTGTACCATTGTAACATGTTTGAAAAACATAAATAAAAATACATGATTTAAGAAATACTTAATTTGGACTAATTGTTAGACCTTTAGCCATGTCAGATACAGACTATTTTCCAAGTTGAGGCTGTTCACAGAGCTGTCTACAGCAGGTGCAGTACAGGTACAGAACTGTACATTACAGTAGTATTTGTCTGAAGCTGATTCAACATTTACTTGTTTTCATGTTTTTTAGTTTCTTCCATATGTATTTTTGCAATCACAAGTATTTCTGTATTCTTTATTTTATTATCCCGAGGTTCTGGAATGCTCTCCCTCTGTCCCTTCGCTGCTCGGATTCTACTGACTCTTTTAAGAAACATCTTAAGACATTTTTATTCTGACAGGCTTTTAGTTAAGTGCTTTTTATTGTGTTTTAATTGTTGTTTTTATTTCTGTGATCTGTTTTATTGTTTTTAATTATTTTTGCTTTCTGTGAAGCACTTTGTGATGTTTGTCTGTGAAAGGTGTTATAGAAATAAAGTTTACTTACTTACTTACTTACTTATTTAACCATTCTTATTTAAAATTGTTTGGCTCAATCTGAAATAGTGTGTCAGGATTTTAGGTCTTCAAAACTTGAATACTTTTAGAGTTATTTAACTTGATTTACAAGCAAGTTCCCTAAAAAATACATCAACTATTCAGTTCCTCAGAAACATCATTTTCTGAAATGTAATTCTGTGTATTTGCTCTATTTTTGTCTTCTTGTACTTTTTTAGATTTCAGTTTGTTTTTATAGTTGGCTTTGCTACAATTAACATATACTGTAGTTATTCTTCGGCTAATTATTTGCGTACATCTATTATTTTGGTAATTTTGTATTTTCCCTACTGTTTTGATATGTTTGTTACTTTAAGGTTTTAGCAACAGCATTGATCATTTTAAATTTTTGTTTCCATATTGCCGGTTTTCACTTGTGTTCTGCTCGTTTTATTCGAACAAACTATGCTTCAACAAATTTCAGCATTCAAGCTTCAGCGATCACAATCTACCCCCATCCTTACTTAAATACCCACATCGGTATAACCAGACCTTTTCTTTAAGTGAAGGTGATGTCTGTAACCTTTGTTAACATCCTGATCGGTGCTGTTACCAACACAGCACCACTCACCAGTTTGATGTGCTGGATTGTAGCCTCGCGAGGAACATCCATCTGGATGTAGATCCCAGTGGGCAGCAGAAAGTCCACGGTGATCTGGTCCGGGGCATGTCCCGCCAGGGGCGAGTGGGCCGCCCAGATGTCCAGGAGGTCTGTCATGGCTGGAGGCATGGCAAGGAGAACCTAACACCACCTCAACCATAAGGACCTGGAGGGATAAAAAGAACAGAAAACAGAACTTGAGTTCAGGGTTTGTTTTTAAAAAGATCACTATGATAACTTTAATGACTAGATTATTACAGAGTAAATGATATCTTAGCTTAGAAAGAGGACAAAAAGACTTCTGATCAAACAGAATGCATGGGTTATATTTTGACTTCAGCCGTCAAACACGATGGTGTTGAGAGTAAAGGATGAGCATCAGTACAGTCGTGTCTGCACAAACTACAGGCCTAAACACAGACAAGTAACCAACGGTAAAAACAGTGGTTAATTCAGTTTAAACAAACACTAATCTTGTAACCAGCATTTCTGTCACGTGTCATGTTGTTTTACCCTCATACAAGCATTAAAAAGAAGTTGAGGGCACCAACAGTGAGGCTGCGTCCCTGTGAGGGCAGCACTGTGCCGAGTCCGGTGGATTTCATCTGGACGAGGGCCAGTGCTCAGAGGAATGCTCACTAAGCAAACAGAACAAAAAGTTCAGCTTACTTTCCCTTCATCTCACAACCTGCCCCCTCCTCACCAGAACAGAGCACAAACATAATAAAAACACTCATTTATTAGAAGGGCACTGCATTAAAGGCTCCACTGTCCTTTAACACATGCCTACATACATTGCCAAAGTAATTATTAAAAGCACAACAGAAGGAAGGGTCTGTTCAAAAACACTCATCTGTGCCAATGAAAAACCCTAAACCAGGGAAGAGCAACTAGTAGCCCATGGGCCATATCTGACCCACAGGTGACTTCCTTCCAGCCCGCCAATTTATTATTATTTTTAAAGATCTCAAAGCAGAAAAAAGGTGCTTTGAGTGCTTTTTAAGTTTGGTTGGAAGGTGGTTATTTCATTTAATTTATTGATATTTATGTCACCCGTGGTCATACAGTCACTAATCAGCACCACACAGGAGACACTAACATTAACTGCAGTTGTTATTTCTTCCCATTCCTTGGCTTTAACAGGTCCTTTAATTCCACAGCTGACCCTGCTAAAAATGACAAATTTTCTTTTCTGTGTCTCTGAGAGCAGGACTTCAATCTCTGAACTTGGGAAGTTCTTTTTTTTTTACTTTGCGCTGCCATGTTCATGAATGGAAACTTCCTGGTATGTGGGGCAGGAAGCATAGCCTTATATGGTATAATTGGGGTGGTAATTATACTAATTTCCTTTCCTTGTGCAGGAGCACCTGAGTACATACAGGTGGCATTCATCATGTTTACACTGCTCATTTACACACTTTTCCTGAAGTTAGAAGCGTTTGCTGAATCTGACGTGGCATGTTCATTCATAACAGTATATGATTTTATTGCCCAGCCCCACATTTGAGAACGAAATATGTTAAACTACTGAACTGTATACACACAAACATTTATAAAAGGCACTTTTATTATGTTTGGGAAAGTGTGCAGCAATGTGTGTCCCTTTGGTAGTGTCAAAGAATTGTAGCCCCTTCCATCATTTAAGTTGCCCAACCCTGCCTTAACACCTCAACATTTTGACAAAATACAAAATAATATTTACTTGATATAGCACAAAAAAGATATTCAGTTGAGAGAGCCACGCCTATGATCACGTACGCTGCACGTGAACCACAGAGTTCCACTGAAATGCAGTGCTGGTTTAATCCAGCCCACAGCCTGGTTTCCATTTGGGCCTGTGCATGAGCCACAGCTGTGCCGTTGCACCACTTCCACCTGAAAGTTTCTCATAAAGTAGCCCGGTACATTAACTCCTCCACTAGTCCACAGGTCCATCTCCATTTCACCTCAATCTGCCCATTAAAAATGATCGTCCTGATTGCATCTAATGGTCGTATCCCCTTGGAGTTAAGTGCTCGAGCAACCAGCAGATGAGCTGCAGAACGGTGGGCCGAAGCCGCAATCTCAGGCACTTAACATTATCAACCATGCAAATGGAAAAAGTGTGCGTCTGTCAAACAGTAATTGCCAGAACATTCCACTTTTTAAAAGTGCTTTGCAATTATTGAGTGTGATAGGAGAAGGCATGTAGAATCTCTAAAACATAAAAACTACATGAAAACTATCAAAGAGTTTGAGGTGGTGGCATGAAAACACATCCAGACATTGCAAAGGTGCACAATTACAAACACAAGAAGTAACCCGACACCGCGTCTGTCTGCAGCACTGACAGCGCCGTCGTCAGGAGGACGAACATGTGCGTTCATGTCAGCAGGTGAAAACATCTCAATAATTATAGGTTTCGATGGTGACGTTTTCACAGTAGGCAGCTTGAAAATTGTCTGAGGTGAACGCCATCAGCTTCTCCCCCTCCTGCCAGTCTTTCACACAAGCCCTTTCTATACATGCACAGGTGAGCAGGGTTACTGAGGATGTGGTGGCAGACAGCCAGAGGTCTGCAGCCAAGGTCGGGTTTCAGAGGGAGGATTAGAGGAGAAGTGAGTTTGCAGGATCAGGAAGAATAGAGTGTTTCATGTGGCAACACACAGAGGAGACTGAAAGGATACAATCGGTTAGCGAACACTGAGCCGAGTAAACAAAGTACACATTCTGAGAGCCGTCTGTGTTTAAAGGTGCAGAAACATGATCCCAGGTATGTGCTCGCCTCTGAGGTTTGTGGGGAAGATTTTCAGATTAGGCAACTTTTTGCAAAATCAACTCATTCAGAGAACAACTGGATACTACATGTCTAGGATTTCTTCAAGTGGAAAATTCAGCATCGTCTTAAATAGGTTTCCTGTAACAAAGTGAGACCGGGGGTCAAAAGAAACGAAGCGACGGGGAATCATTTCCTCCGATTAAATATCTGCAGATTCACTGATAACACACTGCAAGGGTAAACATAGAGATACAAGGTCAAAAAGATGCAAACCTGAAGAAATGCTGATGTTTTTTTGTAGATGCCTATCACCCACCACTGAAAATCATAGGTGGACAATTGGGACTTTAACTGTGTTAGCAAAATATCTTATCAACCAAAGGACAAATATTTAAACTTTCACTAAATAATTATAAATGTACATACTGGTTAACTTTTGGAGTCAACACAATTCACGATGGGTGCCACAACCGACTGACACTGGAAAAATGGATCCAATTCATTCCTAGCTGGGTCTCATTCACATTATATGCTTTAAGTGCTACTTTTGTTTAAGATCTTTGCTGAAAACATCACTAAACCGAGTCAGCTGTCTGTTAGCAATATGAAACACTTGATGGATTTAATGACACATTCAAAACATATGATGTACGCCTACAGCTGATTGATTTTCTGGAATCAAGACTATTCAAGATGGTCACCACAGCTGATCGACATTAGGCAACACAAAAAATGACTGTAACCCATTGCCTTTATAGATATTAAACAAAATCAGATGTGATGGTAGCATGACATCTTGCAAAAATCACGAGACTATGAATAACTTCATTTTAAAGTTATGCACTTCTAGGCCTTGAATAAAAAAACTGAACGGCCTTCATTGCCAAAGGTAAACAAGAAGAGAGAGAAATGCAACTTCTGGGACAGATAACACCACACTGATAAATAATAAAGACAAAGTGGATCTTTGCTTCCTCTGAACCAGTGACATGTTGTGATGGCTTTCAAATGCATTTACCAGTAAACACTGGTGTTACTCAGCACTCTTCTTATAAAACCCTCTCTGTCTGACAGTAAGAGGCCTGTCAGCCTCACTACAATGGACAGAGTGTGTCCACACGTCTGTGTGTGAGCCAATGAGAAAGAAAAAAGAAAGCAGGGTGGGGGGAAGGTTAAATAAATGGTGTGTGTGTGTGTGTGGCAAAGGTTATGTTTGGTGATTAAGAATCCTATGACAAATTTTCTTTGACACTGTGCTAAAAATAAAATTCAGAAAGAGGATCTAAGACCTCCCTCTAGTCACTCTAGTCTCATAAATGACTCTGATTGGAGATGCGCAATATGGCAGCCTGTGAGTCAGTATTTTCCACAGTCGCGTAAAAAGCATGTGTGTCAGTGGAAAAATAGATATAAATGTCTCTAGGCCGAGACAATTCTTAGCTATTTTTCTGTATTTAGACAAATACATCTACCATATTTATTCATGTATAATATGATCTCATGTATAATACGACCCYCCCCCMCCGAGTTTAAAAAGCATAAAAATTTTAATCCTCAAACTACCTCCAATTTCATAGACTTCAAGATTTTTCAGCCTTTGCAGTCTTTATACATATCAGTAAAATGATCATTGGACTGTTCATTTTATTTTAACAACATATGTACTAAAAGGTATTTTGACAACAAATATATATCAGCAAACTATGATTTTGAGCACCATATGAATTCTGGCATTTTACACATAGTCCACCAGGAGGCGACAACACAAAATTCAGAGACTTTACATGAGATTTGGGCCATCTTGTGGGGGAAAAGCAGATTACTTCCTACTCACGAGCGCCCCCTCTGGTGGGGAAACGGTTTTTCAGGGATACACACTTTTTCAGAACACCGGTAGACGGCAGCCATTACAGACAAACGTGTTTGTTGTTGTTGTTCGAGGAGCAGCCCGGTTAAACGCTAATGTCATTAGTTCACTATCATTATTGAGCTGCAGGACTGCTTCCCCACCTTTTTTCACATCATGTCACCTGCCTGGATCTGTTATCCCACTCTGAAGAACGGAGGAGCGTCACATGTAAGCTTGCTTCAACTGCTTTTTACAAAGCGGTCTCATTTCCGGACTCAGGCATTTTGTGAATGAAGCCGATATTTCAGTTAAAATACATAAGCAAAAATATTTATCCGAGTATAGTACTACCACCCAACTTTACAGATTATTTCATGTATTTAATTTTACGTATTATACTTGAATAAATATGGTAATTAAGTGTACACAATTTAGTTATTAGAGCTACAAAGATGAGATCACAAGTTTATGAAGAGGTAATTTAGGAATACAACAAATTAAAAAAAATACAGCAGCTGTATTATGTTTTATCACTGTATTTAGTATCGTCTGTCTGCTAAATGGGAAAAGGCATTAACATTGCTGTTGGATGTACGTCTGCAAAAAAATAGCAACAACAACAGGCCTTTTATTTGAATAAACATGTTTTCCTATCTTCTAAAGCACCTGAAAAACATGACTATTTGCAGAGCTGTGTAACCATCTGAGTGGTAAATCTGACTAATCACTGATTGTTTCAGAAAACACAATGGTAAAAACACTTGTGTTGTGCTCTGTGTGACCCTTCATCTGAACTGTATGCATCTGCCCGGTAGGTGTGTGGATAAACTGTTAGCTGAGGTGTGTGTGTGTGTGAGTCACCTGTAGCAGGGTGCTGTTTAGGTGTGGATAGTGGCTGCAGACTAAACATCACCCTGTAACGCTCAATTTTACCCTCGGCACAGTGACGAGACATATTTATGTGCCCATCTGTGATTATGTGTTGGTGCAAAGAGAGGTGGAGCACAAACAGCATCGCTCTTCGGCCATCTGCAGCAACTTTTCGCTGGGAGAAGTACGTCACTGGGTTGTTATCTGTGCTCCATTTTATGACGATTCATTGCAGCAGTGTTCTTCTTTCTCACCACAGATCAGTTTCATCTGAGGCCATCAGCAGCACTGCTAAGAACTAATGCCTGATTGTCCGAATATTAAAGAGGAAGTGCTCACTAACCAAACTCTTTAAATATGAATCTGTCAGACTGATGTGTGGCTGAGAAATGAGGATGAATTGAAGTGTCATGCCTGTTTTTGTGAGGCGTTACTGTGTTTGTGTGTGACCAAACCATGTCTGCAAAGCAAATAAATGTCCAGTGACACAGCGGCATTCGCCCACTCCTCAGACAGGAAGAAGTGACACCAATCAGGAAATGAGTGACAAACAGTCAGAAAGAAAAAAAAACTTCCAACTGGTCATTCATAAAAAGCTCCTGAGCGTTGAGTCAGAGCCTTGGCCAACAGTCTGGTTAAAAAAATTGATCAATAAATAAACTGAAACCATTCTGATAAGGGTATTTACTCTGTTGTATTCTAAATCAACAAAATACCTGAACCAGAAATAACTTTTCAAACCATGTAGATAAAACATTGTTAATTTCTGCACAAACAAGTTAAAACAGACTCGGTGAAATAGGGCTGGGCGATATGGCCCAAAAAATAAAAATCTCGACTTTTTTCATCCTAAATTCGATTTTAATCGATTTTGTTTCCCACTTAACAGAGTGCCTCTGTTTCAGGTGTTGAAACAAATTTGTTGTACTCCTACTTTTTGTAGCAAGAGCCTTCAAACAGTTGTTGCAGTGAGGTGTTTGTTGCTCCAAGTCCGAGGTTGTAAAACCTAACCACTTCCAGAAAACTGAAGAAACACTGCCTTTTTAGGGAAGTAGATCCTCTTTGCTAGCTGCCATACTGTCATGTCATGTCCCAAGTGTCTTGAGGGACAGGTGAGGTGACTCTAAACTACAGAAGCGTGCACTGGTGAGAAAAAAATCTTGATTTTCCCAAAATTAAATCTTTATAAATGACAAATTCAAATTAATCAATTATCGATTTATTGCCCAACCCTAAGGTGAAAGTTTAATCAAATATTTCCAATCTAAAAGTGAAAACTGAAGCAGGTGGAGCAAATGAGTAAGAAATGACAACCCTCAGCTGCACAAAATTAAGCCAATAAACAATTCATTAAGATGTTTCTAAAAAGGTAGAAACAAAATGAAAACAGTAATTCTCATATCACATTCACACTATTATGGAATAATTCTGACATCAAGCCTTTTACGCAGAGTAAAAATCTTCTGTCTTAAAAAAAAACAAACCCTTGTCAGACTCAACTGTGGCATTAATGGCATTGAAGCTCTGCTGCCACTCCAGCACAGGCAAGTCAAATTAAATCCTTAAATTAATCTAAAGAAAGCCACATCCTCTGTAAATTTGACAAGTGTCTTGGGACAACACATCAAAGTACCCCCTACACTGTTCTGACAAAAACACTGCAGCAGTCCAAGTCTGCACTACGACTGTAACAAGTCTGGAAGACGTGCTTCTAGCTTTCTGTTCAGGCATTAAAGATGACCGGGTCATCAGCTAATGGAGAAGAGGAAAAATACAGAAAAAAGCATTAATGACCCCTCCCACTAATGGGCACTACTGTTGCATAACAAGGTTTTCTGAAGAAAAGGATACATGTGGCTGCTTGTGAGCAAATGTGACTTCAGTTAGCATGAATTAACAGAGGAACTAAAGACACAGATGTGAAGTTGAAGCAGCTGTGACGATTAGAATCATTTCTAGGCGTTTTGTTTTGATAATAGCAGTCATCTTGATCAGGGCAGAAAAGAGAAAAACCTGCAAATATTCTATTTTTGACAAAACAAACAAAACAAAATGTAATTTTCTGTTTAAACATTGTTGATACGGTTGTCACAAATCTAAAATATCATGGTTGATTATTCGAAAAATTGAGTTTTATTGTATTTCCATTAGAGATGCATGATATAGCGGCACTAATATCGGTATCAGCCAATATTGGTCATTTTGTAGAATATCAGTATTGGTCCAATATGTAAAACTGGGCTGATATTAATGTCTGATATTGATTTCCTACTTTTTAGCTTTGTGTATCTGTTTTGGGAGGGGAGATGGTTGGTTGAGCATCATCTGTTCAATCATGAAAGTTATTTAATGCTGTGTAGCCAGAAATAACTTAAGTAGGGAGCCATGTCAGAGGTCTGGTAGTTTATTTATGGTACCAAAAAAAGACCAAAGTGTGTTTGTGAGTATATGTATAATATAATTTGTGTGTTTGTGTAATATCGGTAAATATTGGTTATCGTCCATAACAGCAATAATTATATATATATATAAATATCGGACATTGATATTGGCTGAAATTTTCATATTGGTGCATCGCTAATTTCCATATTCTTACATAACTGATTAGCTTGTCTACAATATACACCAAGTATTACTTTGAAAATAATTTTATATACACATTAGACACACTGTTCAAAACTAAGAGTTAGTCTCTCTGAAGTGGTTTCACTGCCTGTCAGTGTGAACCAGTTTTACGGTGACATGATTAGTTCAATGAGTTGCATAAGAGTCACACTCATTCATTATTTTTGAAAACTGAAAAAGCAGCTTTCATTTTTCTCAAATCTGTTTCCAAGAAACTGAGTTTTTCTTAATAAAACCACTTAAATAAACAGATATTATGAAATGTTTCATGTCAATGGCCCCGCCAGCTTGTCGGTAATCCTAAAAGAGCAGAAAGGGGAATTTCTATCATGAACAAATACTGGAGACACATCAAAACTTTATGATGTGCATTTAAAAATAACCCATAAAGAAAGAAAAGTTGCTCATTTTAATAAAAGTATTTATTTGATGTGACGTTTATTGGCAATAAATCTTACATCACTGGAAAACTGATTTATTTCCACATAAATGATGCCACACTTGTAAGGAAAGTGCATTTGCTGGTTGAGTAGCAGAGTTCGGCACATGGGTTCCGCACGTGAGAAACTTGCCAGGTCCCAGCACAATAAAAGTGAACAAATATAATAAAAATAACAGGGATAACTCTCAAATAAATAAATAAATAAATAAATAAATAAATAAATTTCTTGCAGCACTCAAAAAATATGTATGATTGGTGCAGATTCATCGTCAATAAGATGGTAGCATAACCTAAAGTGCTATTCAAGTCAATTCCTGGATTTTTTTCATATCACAATATATGGCAGGGTAAAAAAAAATTGCAACAACAATTTTTTGCAATATCCTGCAACCCTAGAATTATTGTTCATTATTGTGGCTGGTAGATAAGTGATTATTGTCGCAATCTTGTAATACTGAGGCTACAGGTTTGAGCCCAGGTTGCGTCAGGAAGAGAATTTTGCGTAAAATGATTGATAAATATTTCATGAAAATTTGTTTGCTGTGGTGACCTCTGCAGGAGGGAGCAGCCTAAAAAATCAATTACAATGACAATATCAAATGTGATACAGTCACATTCTCCACAATCCTCACTATTTTCTATCATCGCTATCATCTAAACCAGATGTGGTCACAAGGTCAATGAGGGTGTGTTGAATAGACAGTGGGCTGTTGTTTTTGTCAGTCCAACAATTCTTTGTTTTATTGATATTGTGATCACTGTGATGATAATTGTGCAGCACTAGTACACACTGCAGGTATAACATGATTATGTGCCACATGGGTTCTCATGGAACTGTAGACACTGGGAACACAAGAATCACAACCTTCAATAACAAACCAGCAAACACAGTTCAGAACTAACAAACACACTATCTTGACAACATCTCCTGTTTGAATATTGTCCCTTTTTCTTTGTGGAATATATCAATGTGACAGTTTTTGTTTACAACATCTTTACACCTAAAATGAAGCTTTCAGCACCACATAAGTCTAAAAGAGACAACTTTTGAAATTTACCTCCAAGTGGATTGCCAACAAGACTTCGCACCTCCAGAGTTGTGGAAAACTGAAAGTCACAGAACATCTGTGGGTTCTTTTTGGTCTGAAGAAAAAACTTGCAACTTTCTGTTAAATGGCAAAGTGTTTCATCTCTTTTCAAAGCCAATAAATGAGGACATTTCGTCATTCTTTGTGATTATCTCTGATTTTTCTGTGATAATGACATGCATTATCTAAAAATCAGTGAGGTGTTGGGATGTGAAAATTGTTTAAGTTGCGTCTAAAGTTTTGGGCCAAAACCACCAAGTTGAAAGTACTCAAGAGAGACAAAAAATTCAATATCTGATTAAAATAAAAGTGTACAATTTTGTATGTGATTTGTTTTAAGCTCAATAACAAACACACAATATTTTAATGCAAAAGCAGAAGTCTATTAATCTATGTGGGAAAATAAATTAATCGTAGCTCCAAACATAAAAAGCCTCAAATATTTACCTATATTCAAGAAAAATGTTTTGTTCCTTTAATTTGTTGGGTCCATAAAAAATTGTTAGTTTGTTTTGCTCTTGGAAGAGTAAGACACTTTTCCCCTCTCTCCTGCCCTCCCTCATTTTTCGCTGCTTTGCTGCTTGGAGCCTCCTCTGTTTTCATCCAAAACCAAAAATTATGGATTTATTTTATGGATTTGGTTAGCTGGTCTCTTAATAAATTTTTGAAACAAATTATTTTTTCCATGGGAGGACATGTCAAAGGTGGGACCTCTGTTCTGTTCTGCTCTGGACATTTATTTGGATTCTGATAACTGGATTTCTACAGATTGGCTTGGTGGTCTCCTGGTATTCTGCAAAACAGCGTCGGTGGCTGTTCAGACTATTTCCTGGCTGCCTGACCAATATGAAGGATTGCCGTTCTTTCAGCACTCAGACGCACGCCCTGTGCAAGCTGGGACTCAGTCTGCAAGTGGTTCTGCTGAGGGTTGCAGGCCGACTGCGGGCCCTGGACTTTGCTGGTGAGATGGAATTGATCTTGGAGAAGCTGAGAGCTTGGCACGGTGGGATTGCCCACACTAATTGTCTGATTGGATTCATCACATTGGATGTACCAACGGACATTAAGGCAGATGGAAAATAATTATTGTCTGCCTGACCGAAAACCTTTTCTTCTGTCCCCAAACAACTGATTACAAATTGGTTCTCCCCTACATGGCCTTGAAGAGCTGTGGATATAATTTGTCATGGTGGTTACGTTGACTTAACCC